GCTGAATGGGGATTTGAATCTAGTATTCTAGGTCTAATACTCAAACCACTACACCATGATGGGTCCAGTGAAAGATAACAGAACAAATGTTGTCAGCCTTAAAGCAGTGTTTAAAATGGGACCATGATAGATTTAGTTTGCAGCTTATTTGGAAAGTTGTACACTATGATAATTACAAAGCATTGAAAGTATTACTGTGTTGTCCTAAGGCCTTCACCCATACAGGAATTTTGTGATAATTATCTACGTAAATCTGTGTTAATAAAAGCTGAATGTGCTGATTCAGATCTATCCGACCCACATTATGACTGTGTGAGCATACAAAAGAGTTTTCCTAATCAGTTTATCCATCACTACAAAATACACTTTCCTCAGGGCTAAATTGTTGGCATAGCATCCCCATAGTGAAGAACCCCCCACTACAGAGAGACCAACGAAACTGGCATTTTCCATATATTAATATATCAATCCCTATCTATCTCACTACATATATTAAAATTATATCTATCTGTCTATCTTGGGGGGGGGGGGGGAGAGAGAGAGAGAGAGAGAACTGTTAGGAAAATCTTCTCCCATGAGGATGCTGGTTAAAGTCAGGCAAAATAGGGAAATTTGGATAGGATCTTATGATATTATCTCCAATAATAATTATCACTCTACCATGGAACTGAAATGTGTAGCATATCTTGACTAGCTAGTAAGTGAAGCAACAGTTTTGCAAATAATGTATGCATCCAACTGTTCAGAACAGTACACACAGCTCTAATTCAGAAGCACAATAAATATTGTTTCCTATCCTAAACATGTGGAGGAGAGATGTATCTGCCAGTGAGAGAACAAGAGAAGTGGAAGAGGAAGTAAAGTTTGCAAAAGGAAAGACAGAACAGCTAAACTAGAAATGATGGGTGGAGGCTCTCTATATGCTAAAGTGAAACTGAAGAAAAGAAGGGAAGCTTCTAAACATTGAGAGAGAGAGACTTCTTTCAGCTGCTTTAAGATCACAAGAAGCAACTAGGACAAATCAGAGAACAACCTTTCAAAGGAGAATCTTCCCAGGCGTATTAGCCAGTAACTCCCCTCCCAACCAAAAATCAGAGTCAGACGGTCAATTCATATTGTACTTCTCTTTGATAGGTGGGGATATACTATGCAAAGCAAGGAGAGATGTATAATTATTGATCAGTATATTCATATCATAGAATCACAGAGTTGGAGAAGACCTCATGGGCCATCCAGTCCAACCCCCTGCCAAGAAGCAGGAAAATTGCATTAAAAGCACCCCTGACAGATGGCCTCTGCTTAAAAGCCTCCAAAGAAGAAACCGCCACCACACTCCGGGACAGGGAGTTCCACTGCTGAACAGCTCTCACAATCAGAAAGTTCTTCATGTTCAGGTGAATTCTCCTTTCCTGTAATTTGAACCCATTGTTCCATGTCCTAGTCTCCAGGGCAGCAGAAAACAAGCTTGCTCCCTCCTCCCTATGACTGCCCCTCACATATTTATACATGGCATCATGTCTCCTCTCAGCCTTCTATTCTTCAGACTAAACATGTCCAGCTTCTTAAGCCACTCCTCATTGGGCTTGTTCTCCAGACTCTTGATCATTTTAGTTGCCCTCCTCTGGACACATTCCAGCTTGTCAAAATCTCTCTTAAATTGCAGTGCCCAGAATTGGACACAGTATTCCAGGTGTGGTCTGACCAAGGCAGAATAGAGGGGTAGAACGACTTCCCTGGATCTAGACACAATATGTGGATGTGTACATTATACTTTTTGTAGTTGTGTGGTTATGTACATACCCATGATACATACACACTGATCTGGCTGCATTCTGGTGCATTCTTTCCAGATTAATTTCGCAAGAGTAATTGTAAAAGCAATTCAGTGGTGCACATATATTTGTACTCATATACAAAACACTCATGTCATCATGTAACAGTGTGTCACCCAACTCAATGGCAAAGCCTCATATTGTTACTGGGAAGTCAACATACCTGAATTAGTGTTCGAATTAGTTCTGGAAGCATTCTTAATTCTTTAAGGCTTTGGGATATGACTGGCTATTAGCTAAATAAATAAACCTGTGATGTGTTACTTAGCACGAAACTATGTAGTAGTTTTCCAGGAGATAATCCGTTTTAGTAGAGCTCAGAAGTGATGAATCACAAGCAAGCAGTTATGCTTTGGATTAAGAGTGCACAACAAGACCATATTTAAATGGCACATGAGAAAATAATTCATAACTGGAAACACTTCTAAGTTCTAGTGGCGCCCAAAAGTTATCTTTCAGGGAAATTGCCTAAATAAAATTCCATAGGATGTTTTTCATCAGCTATGCCATTCTGTGAGAGCCAGTGTGGTTCAAATTATTATTATTATTATTATTATTATTATTATTATTATTATTATTATTTTATTTATATCCTGCCATCATCTCCCAAAAGGGGTTTGGGGTGGCTTACAAAAAGCACATAATAGTGCCACAAAACACATAAAATACAAGTAAATTACATCAACAATAATAACAATGACAATATCAAATAACATGAAACAACATTTACAAAAGATAAAAAATACCAACTCAATTTAAATAAAATACACAATAAAACACAGTAATGGCTACTATTAAAATGGGCAATACAATCATGTTAAACATCCCAGCTACAGCCAAATCACAAGTAACATTAAAATGCTAGAGTCAATATCAATTTGTTTGGTCCTCTAGTCTAGCTGATGTCTAACCATAGTCAAAAGCTCTACAGGACTAGGACTCTGCGGACCAGGATTTGAATCCTGATTCGGCCATGGAAACTCAACAGGTGACCTTGATGAAGACACCTCTCAGCATCAGGAGGTGGAGGCAAAGACAAACCCTCTCTCAACAAATTTTGCCAAGAACACCAACCTGGTGGTAGCACCAAAATCTCGATCCATCTTCTAAATGTATATTTACAAGGGTTGAATGAAAAGTAATGCCTTCGCCTTTGTTACTTGGGTTTGGATTGGGATATTTTAATAAATCAAATGCAGAAATAATCCTTAGAATGTGCTCTTTAACTAACTCATAATATTAAATGTACAGGACATGGTGGGGTGGGACCAAGAGATGTTTGATGAGGGGCATTTACTTTACTTTAACCTTTATAGGTCAATGCATTATGGATAAAAGTGGTATGAAACTGCATTAATTCCTACAATGTAGATCAGGCATGGGCAAACTTTGGCCCTCCAGGTGTTTTGGGCTTCAACACCGCTTTGGTTCCCCTCAGGGTGAGAAAGACAGGGTATAAATAAAGTAAATAAATACACACATTTCCACAATTCCACAATTTGGAGTTGTAGTCCAAAACATCTGGAGGGCCAAGTTTGCCCATGCCTGGCATTGATGCACCCATAGGCAAAGGATGTCATAGGAACATCTCCCAATTCAAGTGGCATGACACTGCATTCATTCCTAAAATGTAGGTGCACACTTTGAAAAAATGACTCCATTCTCTGAGGAAGAAGAGAAGAGAAATCAGAGAGAAGAATCATTCCTTTTCATAGTATTTAGTATTACCAGTCACCTGCATAACATAGTCTAAGGCAGAGCCAGCAGGTATCTTTTAAAACTCTCCTTTATCAGCTTACTATCTAACATTTTGTCAATGGACAACTCCAAGGATTCCATAGCAATGAACCATGGCAATGTGAAGCTGTATTAATGGCTACAGTGTAGACCAAGCCTGGGAAAACTTCGGCCCTCCAGTATTTTGGACTTCAACTCCCACAATCCCTACCAGCCTACCAGCTGTTAAGAATTTTGAGAGTTGAAGTTCAAAACACCTGGAGGGCTGAAGTTTGCCTAAGCCTGTTGTTGACACACGCTTGGGCAGAAGGCGACCAAAGGAGTACCTGGCAATTCAAGTGACACAAAACTGTGTTAATTCCTACAGTGTTGACCCTTCCACAGGCAGAAGGCGCCCAGAGGAGCAAGAGGCAATTCAAGTGCTATAAAACTGTGTTAATTCCGACAGTGTAGACCCACCCACTGGCAGAGGGCATCCAGAGGAGCACATGGCAATTCAAGTGATATGGAACTATGTTAATTCCTACAACAGTGGTTCTCAACCTGTGGGTTCCCAGGTGTTTTGGCCTTCAACTCCCAGAAATCCCAGCCAGTTTACCAGCTGTTAGGATTTCTGGGACTTGAAGGCCAAAACATCTGGGGACCCACAGGATGAGAACCACTGTCCTACAGTATAGACCAACCCAAAGGCAAATGAGCAAAAGGCAATTCAAGTGAGACGAAACTGCATTAATTCTTACAGTGCAGACCCACCCACAGACAGAGGACGCCAAAAAGGGGACCTGGCAATTGAAGTGATACGAAACTGTGTTAATTCAGACAGTGTAGACCCACCCACTGGTAGAAGGCGCCCGGAGGAACACCTGGTAATTCAAGTGATAAGAAACTGCATTAATTCCTACAGTGTAGACACACCCACAGGCAGAGGGCGCCCAAAGGAACACCTGGCAATTCAAGTGATACGAAACTGTGTTCATTCAAACAGTGTAGACTCACCCACAGGCAGAGGGCACCCAGAGGAGCACCAGGCAATTCAAGTGATATGGAACTGTGTTAATTCCTACAGAGTAGGCCAACTCAAAGGCAGAAGGTGCACAAACGAGCACAGGGCAATTCAAGTGATACCAAACTGCATCAATTCTTACAGTGTAGACCTACTGACAGAGGGCGCCAAGAGGGGGACCTGGCAATTCAAGTGGTATGAAACTGCCCTAATTCCGACAGTGTAGACCCACGCACAGGCGGAAGGCGCTCATAGAAGCACCTGGCAATTCAAGTGGTATGAAAGTACATTCATCCCTACAGTGCAGACCCAAAGGATCAAGGAGGAGGCACGCCTGGAAGTGCAAGTGGTATGAATCCGTATTAAATCCTACAATGTAGCTTCCCCCTCACACACACAGAGGGAGAGAGAGAGAGAGAGAGACCTACCTGATGAAGGTGGTCTTCCCGGTGCTGTACTGCCCGACCAGGAGCACCATGGGCTTGTTGTCGAAGTCGGCCTCCTCCAGGGCGGGCGAGTGGAACTCATGGAAGCGGTAGTGCTCCTCGAGGGGCAGCAGCTTCTTGGCGTAGAGCTCCTTCAGGCCCCCGGTCACCGTCTCCACCACGTCCTCGCCTTCGCCGCCCCGCGGGCGCCCGCCCTGCTTGCCCAGCCAGCTGAACATCCCGGCCGGCCTTGGCGGAGGGACACAGGCAGAGAGAGAGGGAGAGAATGGCGGAAAGAAAGGCCAAGCCGGCAGGCCAGAGGCGGCCCCGCCCTTCCTGCCGACGCCTCGCCGCGGCCTCCTCTTGGGCGAGGCGGGCAGTGCAGACACAGGCCTCTCCCAAGCAGAGGCACCGGCTCTCTCGCAGGCCTGGGCCAACTTGGGCCCTCCAGGTGTTTTGGACTTCAACTCCCGCCATTCCTAACAGCCTCAGGCCCTTTCCTTTTCCCCCTCAGCCGCTTAAGCGGGGAAAAGGGGAAAAGAAAGGGGCCTGAGGCTGTTAGGAATGGCGGGAGTTGAAGTCCAAAACACCTGGAGGGCCCAAGTTGGCTCATGCCTGACTCAGAATGCAGTTTGACATCACTCCAACTGCCTGGGCACAGTGCTATGCAATCCTGGATGGGAGCAGAATTCAAAATGTATTTATTTACTTACTAGACGTCCCCTGCCACGCGTTGCTGTGGCCCAGTTTTGTGTGTGTGTGTATATATGTGTGTGTTTGTGTATATATGTGGTTTTGCGCATGTGTTGTAATGCATTCTTTGTTTTTTTGGCTTTTTAAGTCTCTTCTGTGTTTTTCAGTGTCTTTATGAGTGATGGTCACTCGTTGGCCTGATAGGTGTGTTGTGTCCAAATTTGGTGTCTATTCATCCAGTGGTTTCTATTTGGTGTCTATTCATCCAGTGGTTTTTGAGTTATGTTGTTCCCACAAGATTAGAGAGCTGGGCCAAAACTAACAAAATTGAATTTCGACCAGGACAAATGTAAGAGACTACACTTAGGCAGAAAAAATGAAATGCATAGATACAGAGTGGGTAAATGCCTGGTTTGACAATAGTCAATGTGAGAAAGATCTTGGAGTCTTTGTGAACAACAAGTTGAACAATGTGATGCAGCAGCTTAAAAAGCCAGTGGGATTTTGGACTGCATCAAAAGGAGTATAGCAAGGGTCCTCAAACTTTTTAAACAGAGGACCAGGTCACAGTCCCTCAAACTGTTGGAGGGCCGGATTATAATTTGGAAAATAAAATGAAGTCCTATGCACACTGCATATATCTTATTTGTAGTGCAAACGCCACTTAAAAACAATACAATAATTAAAATGAATAACAATTTTAACAAATATAAATTTATTAGTGTTTCAATTGGAAGTGTGGGCCTGCTTTTGGCTGATGAAATAGGATTGTTGTTGTTGTGTGCTTTCAAGCCGTTACAGACTTACGCTGACCCTGAGTGAGGGCCAGGAAAATGACCTTGGAGGGCCGCATCCAACCCCTGGGCCTTAGTTTGAGGACCCCTGGAGTATAGTGTCTAGATTGAGGGAAGTCATTGTGCCTTTGTATTCAGCTTTGGTTAGATTTCACTTGGAATACTGTGTCCAATTCTTGCCACCACAGTTCAAAAGAGATCATGACAAGCTGGGAGGTGTCCAGAGGAGAGCAACTAAAATGACCAATGGTCTGGAGACCATGCCCTATGAGGAGCGTCTAAAAGAACTGCCTGCAGAAGAAAAGGTTGAAGCGAGACATGATAGCCATGTACATATATATGAAAGGGTGTCATAAGGAAGAGAGAACAAACTTGTTTTCTGCTGCCCTGGAGAAATAGGACTCGGCAAAATGGGTTCATTACAGGAAAGGACATTCCACCTGAACATTAGGAAGAACTTCCTGACTATAAGAGCTGTTCAGTAGTGGAACTCTCTGTTTTAGTGTGATGGAAACTTTTACACAAAGGCTGGATGGCCATCTGTCAGGGATACTTTGATTGTGTTTTCCTGCATGGCAGGGGGTTGGACTAGATAGCCCATATATTCTTTTCCAATTCTATTATTCTATGATTCTGTGATTTCTATCCTGCCCTGTCTCCCCATGGGGACTCAGGGTGGTTCACAACATATAGCGGCAAACATTCAATGCCATATACAATACTATGTTTATACACACATACACATGCAGACAATCCCCAGGTTATGATCATTATCGGTACTGTAGGGTTGTTTTTAAAACTGAATTTGTAAGTCAGAACAGATACATTTTTAAGTGTAACTCCAGCCAAAATATATATACTTTTGGATAGCATAGGGAAGGGTAAACACCTCTTTGGTGTTTGCTTTGCTCTCTGTGCCAGTTCAGGAGATTTCACCTCACTTTCTGTCCCTGTGATGATTGGATTTTGAAAAAAAAAAATGGCTTGTTGTGGAAACAAGGATTAGAGATAAATCTTCAGTGGAGACCCCTTTTCCCCGTGATTACACTTCCAGGAGTGGATTTCCCTTCCGAGGGATAGATTTCTCTCACGTCCTGTTGTCTCACCCCCATTCTTAATTAGGAGTTGTTTGTTAGTCAGATGTTTATAACTTAGGGACTGCTTGTATCTGCTTTGAACTAGATTATATGGCGGGCGAGTGGAACTCATGGAAGCGGTAGTGCTCCTCGAGGGGCAGCAGCTTCTTGGCGTAGAGCTCCTTCAGGCCCCCGGTCACCGTCTCCACCACCGTCTCAACCACGTCCTCGCAGACGAAAAGCAGATAATCTGGATTCAGAAACTGGATTATATGGCAGTGTAGATCTAGCCTGGAATTCTTAAGCAATGGGTAAAAATGGAAGAAATAATCTTTCAAATAGAAATAAAATTAGTTTGTAGTGGAAATGAACATTTAAGCTTGGGATTCTGCACCATGAGTAAGCCCATACTTATGTTAGTGAAATTTGTGATGTTGAAAAGTTTATTTATTACCATTTAATTAAAATTGCATACTGCATCCACAAAGCTTTGATAAAACAGTAAAACTTACTTTAAGTTACATTTGTCTTTATTTTTCTGAATTTGCTTTTGATTACTGCATTTCAATATTAACATCAAATTAACACAATCTTTATGGTATATAATAATAATAATAATAATAATAATAATAATAATAATAATAATTACATTTTATTTATTACTTGCTTCTCCTGATGGCTCGAGGCTGGGTACAACAAAGTCAAACACATGAACATAAAATATATGCAATAAATTACATAGATAAACACAAAAAATATAAAAACTTGCACCAAACACAGATATGGAATTGACATATTGTAGCTCTAGAATAGAACAGAGGCTGCAGTGGTGCAGCAGGTTAAACCGCTGAGCTGCTGAACTTGCTGACTGGAAGGTTAGCAGTTTGAATCCACAGGACAGGTTGAGCTCCTGGTGTTAGCCTCAGGTCCTGCCAACTCAGCAGTTCAAGAACATGCAAATGTTAGTAGATCAATAGGTACCGTTTTGGCAAGAAGGTCACGGCACTCCATGCAGTCATGCCGGCCACATGAGCTAGGAGGCATCTATGGACAATACTGACTCATCGGCTTAGAAATGGAGATGAGCACCACCTCCCAGAGTTGGACTCAACTAGACTTAGTGTCAAGATGAAACCTTTACCTTTTTAAGCAATAGAATGTAAATCAAAACTCATGATTGAAAGTTGACTGGGTAGGGCTATATTATTTAGTATTAGGCCTATAACTCAAGCAACCAGAAACTATGTGTTCAGCATCTACCATGAATGAGAGTGTACTTTATTAAAGAAATCTTGGATTATTAGAAGAGATGATTACTGAATTAGTATGGTGTAGCTAAAATAGATTAGGAGTTTGGGTGAGTTATCAACTTTTCTTAGACAAGGAAGACTCAGGGTGCATCTACCACTCTAACTCTCATGACTTAATGCTATGGAATCCTCATGACTTAATGCTATGGAAGTTGAAGTTTTACAAGATTTTCTCTGCCAAATGTGACTGGTGCCTCAAAAACTACAAATCCCAGGATTCCATAGCATTGAGTCACGGCAGTTGAAGTGGGGCCAAACTGCATTAATTCTACACTATAGACAGATACATGGGGTCTGTGTCTCTAATCCTAGCAAATGTGGAGGAATGGCTATGCATCTTTCCAGAATGCTAACTACAAAATGGTATTTGGAAATACCTCTGCCCCTTTTTATAGTGGATGTTATGAACTGCCATTATATGAGTCATGGGAAACATTGTGACATTACTCGTATTGAGTCATACATTTTTTCCTCCAATTCTATTATATCAAACTTTCTTTTATTCCCTTTCCATTACTACCATTTGAAACCCAGGGCATCCATGCAGTGGTTACCATTCCCTCCCACCCCAAAAAACATTCTGTATTTAAAGCTTCCCGAGCAAAGTACCTTTACACTGAGGTAGTTCCAATTTATAAATCCATATTTATATATGTATGTTAGGCCTGTGCGGTTTCGTTCGTTAATTCGTTAATTCGTTAAACATTCGTTAATTTTCGCATATACGAAATGACAACAAAACATATTTTCAAACCCGGAAGGGTTTTTAAATATCGAAACGGCAACCCCCACAGTTTTAACGAGCTTTCGCCCGTTTCGTAAATGGGGCGGGCGGGGCGAAGGGGCGGCGCGAGCGCGCACCCAGTGAGCCAAGCCCCGACCCTGCCTGTTGGGCGCGAGCGCAACCGGCTCCCGATTGACTAACTGCCCGATTCACAGAATGGTATTATACGTACACTCATAGGCGCATGGAGACAGAGCCGGCGCTGCAGGAATCCCCTCCCCGGCTCCTGCGCTCCGGCTCCTGCGCTCCGGCTCCTGCGCCCTCCTCCTCCTCCTCCTCCTCCTCCTGGCACTTCCTGCAACACAGCTGCGGAGGCCGGTTGTCTCTTTAAGGCGCCTCTCTCTCCCAGCTGTGTTGCTGGGAGAGAGAGGCGCCTTAAAGAGACAACCGGCCTCCGCAGCTGTGTTGCAGGAAGTGCCAGGAGGAGGAGGAGGAGGAGGAGGAGGAGGAGGGCGCAGGAGCCGGAGCGCAGGAGCCGGGGAGGGGATTCCTGCAGCGCGGGCTCTGCCTCCGTGGCCCGCCTGAGATGAGACCATTCTGTGAATCGGGCAGTTAGTCAAGAGATGGGTCTGACTAACTGCCCGATTCACAGAATGGTATTATACGTACACTCATAGGCGCATGGAGACAGAGCCGGCGCTGCAGGAATCCCCTCCCCGGCTCCTGCGCTCCGGCTCCTGCGCTCCGGCTCCGGCGCCCTCCTCCTCCTGGCACTTCCTGCAACACAGCTGCGGAGGCCGGTTGTCTCTTTAAGGCGCCTCTCTCTCCCAGCAACCATTCTGTGAATCGGGCAGTTAGTCAGACCCATCTCTTCTGATGACAAATGTCACACCTATCACATAGGAGTCCTTCCCATGTAAGCAACATCTGACCGAATTCATTCTTCTATACAACTGGGAAAGATACAGGAGTTCTGCTCCTAATAAAGATGGGAATAATATGTGAAAATATTCTAAAATGCAAAAGAATGTTTACTATCAAGTAACCCTGATGAAATGAATCCTGGATTGATAAGAAACTTTGCAGTTATACCCTTAACGGATCGACCCCGCGCCAATAACGAAGCTTGTTTTACGCATGCGCGGGGGTCCGCCATCTTTACAAAATGTTTTGTAAATATTTACGAAATTTCGTAAATACCAAAACTTTTTTTGGGAAAATTTTGTAATTATTTTAAATATCGAAACAAAAAAACACCCCAATTACAAATCGATTTTAGAAACAAATTTTTTCTTGATCAAACAGGCCTAATGTATGTATAAACTAACTAGGAGTGACCCAAGACAGTTTTTTACTTGAAGTAGATAAGCAAATGATCCTTCCACCCAGGTGAAGACCCACAGTAATGTTCTCTTTTTGTGTGAGGGCACCTGGATCTGAATGCAAACACCAACATGTTCCCCTTTGTCAAGATATATTTACTGTTGCTAGATATGACCAGTTAGATCCAATAAACGAGAATGTGTGTACACAAGCATGGGTGCAGCCTGTTCCCACATATAAGAACCATTATTTATCGAACAAGAACTAGGTTTATGTTCTTTTAAAATTATGTTACACTAAACAAAATAATTATAGGCAAAATTGTTGTTCATGCATAAATTATACAGAAACAGTGAAACAATATGTAAACATATGAAATCTGTTGGGAAAGTTCATACATTCCATAGTGAAGTTTTGCATCTTTGTCGATGTAATGCATACATTGAACAAAAATGGCTGCACCACGAGCTATACAACTACCTGTATAATATTTTATTCAAAAGTGTATTGCTGCTATAACTAATTTAGAGAATTACCAAACAGCTTCAGAGTAGAAAAATTGTATCCATTTCTTGATCACTCTTGCTCAGTTGGGACCAGCGACATTTTAGATTTCACATTTTTTTGGATTTTTATTTACCTGTATTTGAATATACTATGTTATGAGCTATCTTGGAGATGGGACCTAAGTTTAACATAAAACATATTTATGCTTCATGCCTGTTTTAAAGTATAGATGATAGGTACTTTCATACAATATTTGTAATGATTTTGTGCATTAAACAAAATTTGTGTACCTTGAGCTAGCAGAAAGCAAAGGTGTCTCTGTCTCAGCCACCCATGTGGACAGTTTTGGATTTTGGAATATTTGGGATTTCAGAATTCTGGACAAGAGTTGCTCAACCAGTCTATTAAGTATATTTTTGAAATAGCCTTTATAATTTCATTTTGGAATGAGTCCTGTAGAACTTCTGAACAACATGTACAACCTTTGCTGAACATTCTCTCAAATATTCTCACTACAGATTATAAAGCAGCTATCTCTTATGCTGCCTTTTCCGTCCCACAGCTGCACGCAAAGCCTTCAGTAACATATCTTTGTTGTTTAGAATGTTGTATTCAGTTAGTTTAGTTAGCTTTTCAAAATCTTCTTCAGGATATCGCAAAGTATATACATTGTAAGGACCAAGAGAACTGGTAAGATCAATGTCACCATCTTTCATTTCCTCAGGACTACGTTTCACACCTATAATTATAAATAAGAAAAAATAGTAATTCTTTTCTCTTTTACTCAATTTCTTACCCAAATTATGTATCTCAGTTTATCATCAGATTGCCAGCTGTGCAAGCATGCTGCAGCAGAAAGACTGACTTTGTTTTTGAAACTCAGGTGTCACCTCTGCCTTGGACTTAGATAGGAATGGGCAACTTGGAGCCATCCAGATGTTTTTACCTTCAACTCCTACCAGTCTATACAGCAGGCATGGGCACACGTCAGCCCTCCTGGTGTTTTGGACCAACTCTCCCATTCCATTATTCAAGGAACAACGTCAGTCATAATGAAATGAAATCAAAAGGCACACTTGCCATGCAAACTTACCAGGCGCTTTGTACTCTCTGAAAGTGTCACAAACCAAAGGGAAAAGCAGCACTAAAGGAGTCTCGGGGCCTTCTTCTTCTCCTAGCAAATAACACTCCTTTACGTGTTTTTCTGTTTCATCTCTTGGAACATTTTTGGGGAATGGGATTCCTTGTTTTAAGAAATAATCAGAGGCTTTTGACAGAGGCTATATTGGGGTGAGTAAATATAAAAACAGGATGTTAGACGTTGATCCTTTCACAAAAGGAGTAAAGCCTGAATCACACTTGCACCTATTATTCAGCTCATATACTGTACTTCAAATCAGATTCATCTTTCTAGAACACACTTTATTTTACTCTGTTTGCCTCATTCCGCTCATAGCTCCAACAACTGTGAGTCCCACTAATATATTCTATAAGCACTGCAGGGTTTGTGCCTTGTCCATGACTGGGTGAGCCATTTCAGCAAATCTCTCATAACTTTATTTACACCCTGCCTTTCTCACCCCGCAGGAGACTCAAAGCTTCTTACAAACGCTGGTAAAAATTCAATGCCACATCATAAAACAACAATAAAACAAGTTGTATCCAGCTATAAAACAGTTAAAACACATAAACAAATTAACATACATAAAAGCAATAAAACAAAATAAAACATAGCAGATTAGATTAATGCCTTAAGGCCTTTGAAATTTTATCCCAGTGTGGTTTATAAAATTATAGAAATTCTATCGGCATTGCAGGTTTCTGCTATTAACCATCTTTTTTTAAAAAGTGAAACTTGCTCCAAGCATTGATCAAGTCATGGAAATAATGTTTGGAGGCCTCTTGGGAAGACTTGTTGCCCTATCACAGAACACTGATTTTGTCTGGTCTTTATTTGATTTCTGGAAAATTCTTTTTGTTCTTAGTGGAATGTCCATGATGCTTAATCTGTAATTCCTAACCCCAGTGATTGCAGTAATCAAAGCAAAGGATCTTTTCTTTGTAGTAGAAAGGACTGCCAAGAAAGTTTTTTTTTTAACTATACAGGATACTTTGGTTTCCCTAATACTGTTTTTGTAGACAGGATGCAATAACACCAAAGAATAATCTTTTCTGTACATTCAGAAATGACCTCCAGGGGGGGAAAAGGGGGGGGGGGGGAGGAAGAGATTAAGGACACAATAGGAACAAAGACGCCAGCAAAACTCTTCTTGGCAGATGTGTAAAAAACTACAGCAAGCCAATACAGTAAAAAAAAAAAACTACAGCAAGACAATCATGGCAAAATCAAGCTTTGCAGTTTGGACTTTTAAAAAATATATAATCTCAAACCATGGATGGTTGAATCTATGGCTACAGAATCTGTGGGTATGGAGGGCTAACTCCATTCTCATTTATTCTATATCCATAGATTTAACCATCTGTGGTTTGAAACTATATATTTTTTTAAAAGTCTAAACTGCAAAGCTTGATTTTGCCATGATATAAATTTGAGCATGTATGGATTTGGATATCCACTGGGGGTCCTGGAACCAAACACCAGCCAATACCAAGGGTCCACCGTACAGATCTAGGTGGAACTGCTTTATAAAAGCTGTAGTTTAATATAAATAAAGATAGTGGAATATGCTTTTCTTCTCACTTTCTTCACTTTAAACAGTTATCTCACTTTCTTCAGACGAGAAATAGTTGGCAAAGACAGATAGCATTTGTCATTTTCTTCCTGTCATAGCCCTCAAGTTGCTGATGGGAGAGGAGGAAGCAGCTGCTTGAAGATGATTTTAACGGAAGGGATGGCAGTGAGTTCTGACAAACAACTTCCTCTTTATAACACAGAAACAGAACTGAGTCACAGGAGTATATTAGTTATGCACAATTATATATATATATAGATAGATAGATAGAGAGAGAGAGAGAGAGAGAGAGAGAGAGTCTTCTCACCAGTAACTGTGATCCTGAGCTGTAATTTAAATGTATAATTAAATCGACTTTTCTCTCTGGTCTCATGAGTGGTGGATAGCTGGTATCAAGGGAAAATGCTGTATCTACCAGGTAGAGGTAGTCTTCAGATCCTGTCAACTGGTTTGGAAAATTGTCAAGATCGCAATCTAAAAGAAATGAAGTTGTTTTCAAAAGTAGTGAAGATTTTCCCATTGCAGAAAAAAAGTGAACAAAACAGAAAGCAAAGTGTACTTCTATGCACGTAACTTTTCAAATTGTCATCTATCCAGCTGCTCTACTTAGTTAGCCTCCTGCTAACTAGGTTGGGGATCCAGCACCCTCCTCCTTTCTCTTTCTTTCTTTCTTTCTTTCTTTCTTTCTTTCTTTCTTTCTTTCTTTCAATACTTTCCTCTCTGGAAGAAGAGCAATGAGCAGGGCCCACAAAATGACAAAGAGAAGTACTATGCCATTTAGCCCATTATCTGCCCATGAAGAAGAAGAGTCATCAGTGTTCAAAAGAAAGCAAAGGTACTTGAGACCCTCCAGGTATTTTGATTACAACTGTCACCAGCCCCATCCAGCATAGCATATGGCAAGGAATTCTATAGCAGTACAGTTAAAAATATTTGGAGGGTCAACATTTGATACCTTTGCTTTAAAGCAGTGTTGACCAAAGTGCAGTTCATAAACTGTACATGGCCCCCAAAACCACTAAGGGTCATTAATAAAGAAAAGCCACCTAAGTGCATATTAATTGGCCATTTTAAAAACCAGGGTTGCCAATTTAGTAAAGTTCCAGGTCCTGAAATTTTGGGGCCAAAAACAGATTGAGTGACAACCCCTACCATCTCATCACATGAAGAGAAATTGGCGTCCTGGCATACTGCCTGGACACTTCCTCCTCGGAGCTGGCTGGACGCCATCAAATGATATATGACAACTTCTAGTGGGGCTTCATGGAGGAAGCTTCCCGACAGCGTGATAGGATACTTCCCTTGGAACATTGGAGATTTCCCATGTTCCATAGAGTCAGCGAAGGCGAAGCCGCACAGCGGTGCTTCCCCACATGTGTTAGGGAAGCACCTCTGTGACGTAGGGCAACAAAATTTCCCTGCAGATTCGTCATGGAGCCTGCATATTGCCCTGTGCGCCCATATCAATGTGATGAGGTCCATTGTGATATAATTATACATAATTCATTAAATACCAACTGCAGTTACAAATAGCTTGTCATTCAAACATATGCACATGCACACGTGCATAGAACATTTATTTGTTTAGAAATAGATATTTAGCTAAAGCTAAGGAAAGAATGAAGAATACAATATTTAAAATGAAAAACAATTTTAACCAACATAAACTTAACAATATTTCAGTGGAAGACCTTTGGGGCCATCCAATCCAACCCCATTCTGCCATGCAAAGAACCCCAACTCAGTGCTGAGAAAGAAACTTATAGGAAGCCAGCCTATAAAAGATTGAGGAGTCCCTCACCTAGGCAAAGAGACAAAAGAAGGCCACACTCTATCCAGGTAGATCAATCCCCACCATCTTCCAGACTGGCAAGGTTGGCAAGGAAATTTCCTTGCCTCCAGTCAGTTACAAGTATGGGGTCTCCTTGCCTGATGCCACCTTGAACACTGACTGGATCCATTTGGGCTGGAACCAAACTTCTCTACCCCTATTGTAAAGGCTTCTTGCAATGTCTAGACACCAGGCACTGGCCATGCAAACTGCTGAAGGGAAAGGTTTATTGAAAATGAAGTTTTTACAATACCTTTCCACTTAGAAAAATCACTTTCTAGATATCTGTTGTTCATTGGGCAGCCCTTCAGAAAATTAGGAATAACTGAAACAGCAGGTCGCCACATTATAATATCTTGAAAAACATTGGCAAGACTGTTTGGAGGACATTCTGTACGAGTAGGTAGAATATATGCCTCATTGGATACATCTGCAGAAGAAACAAACAAATAAAAGAATAATGTTTTTGTATTAGCTTTTCACAGTAACAATTTATTGTGTGATTTTTAAAAAAAGTTGATGGTATCCTTTTCTCGTGTCAATGCTTACTACAAGCTTCCTATTGTTATTATTCTGGTTAAAATATCAAATTAGTTGTTCTGGGATAGTCCACACATTTATTTTCCTCACATGAAGGAAGCTGGAAAGAAACTCCACCTTGTGGTTTCTTTATGTCACTGCTATCACTGTCTAAATTAAAGCATGCAATTTTTCTGTGTTATGCTGAGCAGTTTTCCATTACTTTACTTGATAGGGGCACCAAGACTACAGCTTCCATTATTCAACTACCAATGTAGTTGGCTATGAGAGCATGGACACAATGAACTAAAACAAGGGGTAAGGGAAAGCTGATACAGAGGATTTCTACTCAGGTCATTGCACTGCATATCATATGCCCCACAAGAAGAGATACCACTGATAGGAAGACATGGTACCATTCTTGTGTAGGTATAGCATTTCTGGTGCCACTTTTGAGTTCTGCTCTGGGATTAAACAACTTTCATCATTAGATTGATGGATTCATTAGAAAAGTATTGACTGACACAAGTGTTACAAATGCTGCAGGGGGCAACTATGTACAAATATCATCATTTGGTTGTATTCCACCCTGAACTCTTTTACGGTGTAATTCTATTCATGTCTGCTCAGTGTTAAATTTCACTGAGTTTAATGAAGCTTATTCCACATAGGATTTAAGATTTAGTCCATGTAAGATAGAAGTCTTATACATCATGTTTTTAATGATTGAGAGTTCTAAGGTGTTAACTCTTCCTTTTTTCGAAAGAATCTGAGTCCCCTTTCCCAAAAACATCAGGTTTTACAGTGGGACGCAAACATTCACATGTTTTAGGAATGACAATTTCCTGTGGACAATAAAACAACCAATTAATCCCTTTGTGGATTTTATTCTTGGGGATACATGTAGTATTTTATTTTAATGCATGCATATTACATTGATATGATACAAACATGCTTTGGAACATACATGCATTGAAAGAGTCAGAGATGATTGTACCTCTCAGCAATGTTTATAGTTAGTGGAAATCCTGGATTTCCAGTTTTTGAAATTAATTTTAAAGAATTTGTCTTATTTGTTGTGCTATAATTATACATTGCCTTTTAGGGGGGAAAAGCCACACAAAAGTCATGCAGACCTAACAACAACAACAACCACAACATACCATATCCTACATATCTATCAAATGCATTCCAGATGGCAGTAGAACATATAGCACAGCTTCTCCAACAAGTCCAAAAAGAATAAATGCGGTTTTAATTCAAGTTCAGGGCAGAAGCCAATTTCAGATGAGTTTATTGTGAATAATACATTATTGGATGCTAGGAGCAATGTAACTTGTAGGACAGAATTTTCTGATTAATGGCGTTCTGGTTACTTAACCATTAAAATGTGGCTATCCCATGCATCCCACATTTAAGACCTTGGTTAAAAACAAATGTATTAGAACATGCTTCTAGAGGGAAATGTAAGAGAATGATTGGTTTTTCACGGCTGCTGATTTTATTTTTTTAACAGAATTTCAGAAAATATTTGTAATGTATGGCTTTAAATATTTGTAATTTAGACATGCAATTCTGTTTGGGTTTTTTTAGATAAGTAGTTTTAGGTGTTTTAGGTGTCATGATTTTAATGATGTCAGAATGTATGAGGAGATGCAGGTAACCTCCAATAATAAACAAAATATCAACTTGCCAATCTCAGTTACTCTCTCTCTTGTCCACGTTTCCCAAAAATCTTCTGAACTCACAGTAAGGAACCAGACATCCATAAGACTCAATGAAAACACACTACTCCAGATTCCTGTGTTGTGTGAGAAAAAATAGGAGTAATTCATAAAGCCTTTCACATTTTGGCTAAGGTAATAATAATAACAATAACAGCAATAATGATGATTCATTTTTGTTCTCTGTTAGTAGCAGCTGATCATGTTGAACTCCCAAGAAATTATTGGAGAATATCTCCTTCTTGTCCTCCAGAGAATATTCAGCAAATTAGTTCTCATGGGGCAGTTCTAGACCTACATTAAATCCACTTCAGAGCCAGTTTAAGTCCACACACTCCAGGAAAACAAACAGATTTTGTCCCCATTGCAACGGAGTAGCTACCACACAACTCCAACCTCCCCTCAAAAAGCCTTAAAAATAAAGAAAACCTTATTGAGTCACCGGTTAGGCCTTTCTGGAGCTTCTTGGAACATAGCAATGACATGTGAGGAGGCCTGGGCCAGGAGCATTTGGGTAAGGTTTGCTTTCTACACTGCCATATTATCCGGATTATCAAAACAGGTCATTGTCTGCTTTGAAATTGATTATATGAGTCCACACTGCCATATAATTCAGTTCAAAGCACATAATCTGGATTTTATAAGGCAGTGTAAAAGGAGCCTGAATCTGGGATTTATATACATTCAGAGTTTACTGTACCTAATTTATTTTGATTTGGTTGTAGTCTAGCTTGGACTAAAAACTGGATTTAAACCCGTGTGTGTGTATACACACATACACAATCAAGAGCTTTCCCTCTATATATGGGGGGAAGCTCTATATATAGAGCGAGTGAGCGCTATAGAGAAGTCATTCTCAGCCTGTCGGTCCCCAGATGTTTTGGCCTTCAACAGCTGGTAAACTGGCTGGGATTTTTCGGGGTTATAGGCCTAAACACCTGGGGGTCCACAGGTTGAGCGCCACTGCTATAGAGCTATCTATCATAAGCCAGGGCTGTGCACATTCATGTTCTAAAAACCCAAGTAACCTTCTAAAGAAAAGTACTAAAAACTTGGAGCTGAAACTATTTGTCACACAGTTCTGGTCTTTAGGAAAAGTTACTATAATGGAAATTTGCAGTTACGAGACTAGTAGTCTATTAGTAATGAGTCAATATTTAATTATAATTTAAATTACCTTCCAAGTAGCAGATTCGTGATTCAGGAATTTTCTTCATCAAACGACCCATGAAAAATTCACTGCCAAAATATTCAGCAGGAATGTAGGCACCATATTTTTGGAATCCTATTTCATATGGCGTAAACTCCATCCATTCTTTAAAAAAGACCAAGAAATTAAAAGAGATCGGTGCTGCATTATGTTTGTATGATATGGAGAAACTTTGTTAATTTTTTAACTGCTGAACAGCTCTCACAGTTAGGAAGTTCTTCCTAATGTTCAGGTGGAATCTCCTTTCCTGTAATTTGAAGCCATTGTTCTGCATCCTAGTTTCCAGGACAGCAGAAAACAAGCTTGCTCCCGCCTCCCTATGACTTCCCCTCATATATTTATACATGGTCATCATGTCTTCTCTCAGTCTTCTCTTTTGCACCCTAAACATGGATTTTATAAAAGGGGCCTCTCTCTGGCAAACCCATTCTAGGAACCAGATTCACAGGATAAGATTACAGTTTTTTTGCTCTCAAAGGAATGTCTCATATGAAGAGCTAACACATAATCTAGAAGAAAAAAAACCTATTTTTACCAATAGTCTTTTCTCAATTCTAGGAAGCTCTAAATTATTCCTATGGAGAATTAAGTGCCTAAATCTAGAATATACCATTACCTCTGAAACCGTGATTACTTCGTTTCTCTTTCACATTGAGACACAGATATATTGGGAGAGGGTTCTGGCCATGTGCCAAAGCTTGCTGCTGATCTGAGAGTTTATGAGGATTTTCCTATTGATGAAAATTGGGGAAAAAACATAGAATTTGAGATGCTATTTTTGAAAAAACAAAAATAGACTCCTAGACATATGATTTAGCTCTGTTTATTTTACTGATCTAGTGAGTACTTCTATTTTTTCATCACTATTTATTGTACTGGGTGGCATATTCTGGTGCTAGCAAGCACTTCAGTCTTGTGGCTTGCATTCCTTTTTACAACCAAGAATAATTCTGGACCAATGGTCATTCTAGAGCTTTCTAAATTTGTTCCACTTGAACCAAGAGCCAATCAAGACAGGCCCATATGGAATATGGGCCTGTCTGGATGGGTCCTTAGTTCAAGTGGAATACATTTAGAAAGCTCTAGAATGGCCATTGGCCAGAATTTGTCTCAGTTTTTACCTGAAGTGTCCAAACAATGCTTCCGGTAAAAACGAACTAATTCTGAATAAACCAAGTTATTCTGAATTAATTTGATACCCCATTAGATCTGGGCTGTCCTGAATGGCCGGGTCTAATGGGATAATGGGCTGTGGGGACTCACTTCCAAGTAGTCCTGGGACTACCTGGGGATGAGTCCCCATTGTCATCCTGAACCTTTTGGACTCCTGGAGCCCAAAGGACTGGGATAGTGACCACCCCCTCCCCACAAGCCCCAAATTTACCCTAAAAATTAAATAAAAGGCCACCATAACTTTCCTCCTCGTACTCTCCTGGCATGAGGAAATGATGTGCCAGAAGAGGGGAGGAAGAGGAATTTTCATCCTCACCCTCCCTCCCCATCTCCTGGTGCATCTTTTTTTGCACCAGGAGAGCATGAGGAGGAAAGTTATAGGGGTAAATGGGGGGGGGGGGCTTTAGGACAGTTATACACCATCCTAATCCTAAGCAAGATAGCATGTAGCCACCCTCCCCCCAGGGAAAACCTGGATTTTTTGGGGAAAGTGGAGACGGAAATCAGCACCAAAGCAGGTTTTTAAACCTACTTTGGTGCAGATTTTGCCATTGTCTGGCAGCTCCCTAAGATGTTTTGAAAGCAACAGTTCACTTCTCCTGAATCATGCCTTTAATTAGAATTAGCTGCTAGCTGGAAAAGTCTAAATTTTAAGGGTGAACAATATAGTACCCCATCACGTAGCATGGATTCAATGAGGAGTCCCCAGAGGTCTGTAAAAGAGATGCTATGCCCTTCTTGGTGTCGCTGCCACAGGTCCTTTGCATAGTACTTCAGGCGTTCGGGTGAAAAACTGGCAAGGAACTTGTTTTTTCTCACTTGTTTGTGGACATCACTGAGAACCTCTTCCAAATTCTTACATGACCAGTAAGGATCTTCATACAAATGTGACATTGTCCTGGAAAGAAACAAAACAAAAATAAACTAAGTGTCAGCAACATGAAATATATGGGCTTTGAGGAATAAGTAAATCTCTTTTTAAAAAGACAAACAATAAAACATTGATCTCATAAGGAATCACTTGTGGCCAAGTATGATTGCAAAATGTACATATAAATTAAAAATCACCCAATGCATCATAATACTCTATTGCCACAAGAAGTATTATAAAATATCCATGTTCTCTAGATCATCATTTAGAAACTCTTTTTCTTACAAAGAAAGAAAGGAACTATGATGGATGATTTTCAATAAAGATATACAAGCACTTGAAAACCATATTTTTCTCTTGATGTTATTTTGTTTTGCCTTTCTTTTGTCTTCTCACCCTATGACTGCTCAAAATACCATAAATAAAACATTGCCTTATGTATAATTTATTTGACTGAAATTTGAGCAAAACAATAAAAATAAAAACACTTATCAATTAATTATAGTTATTTATTTATTTATTTATTTATTTATTACCTGCTTCTCCCCATAAATTGAGGTGGGGAACAACAACAGATTATACCATCATAACAACACTTTAAAAAAAACCCACTAAAACATATAACATCTGCTTAAAAGCACATATAACCAACACATATTACAATTCATTATTTAAAACACATAATTTAAATATTATGGACTTGCTGAAAGAGAGTGTTTTGAATTTAAAATTTAGGCAGCATATTATTCAGCTGCCAAATCTCTTTTAACAGGTCATTCCACAGTCTGGGGAAGCTGAAGAAAAAGTCCTTTGGACAACTATTTACAACCTAGTCCTGACTGGAGTAAACATCTTCCAGAGGACCTAAGTATATAGACTGGAGAATACAAGAGGTAACCTTATTTAAACTAGACCCAACCAAAACCTTGGAGGGCTTTAAATATAATAACTAACATATGTACTTTGCCCAGAAACTAATTGGCAGCCAGTAGATTTTAGTGTGATATGATCACTCCTAGAGGTACCAATAACCAATCTGGCTGCCATGTTTTGAACTAACTGGAGTTCCCAAACTTGATACAGAGGTATCACAATGTACAACACAATGCAGAAGTCCAGCCTTGAGTTTACCAGTGTGCGCACTGCGATCTTTAGATCCTCTAGCTTTAGGAAGGGACACAGCTGACATAACAGCCAAAGCTGATAATAGCTGCTCCGGGCCATAACATCTAATGTGATTTGGAATGACGGAGCCAGAAGGAGTCTTAGATTGGGATTACATCCAGGGTAGACATCAGCAGAGGAGGTGGGCTTTTTAATGGATATTTGACAGGAAACAATTGAAAATTGAGGAGGGGAGTCCTCAGCCAAGAGGGGACTCCTATAGGATTGGAGGGCCTCATATTTCCCATGATGAATTACATGTACTCTTGTTCACATTTCCTTACCATGTTGTTCCAGATAATCCAGTCAGATAGAAAATACAATCCAAAACATCCAGACTCTGGATTGTCAACAGATGGACATAAAGTGCTGTAAGAGCTCTGAATCCACCACCTGTGGTCATGATTGCTACCACTGGTACCTGTTTAACATACCAAAAGAACTAAGCATTAATCCTGATAATTTACTGTGCATAAAAAACCCACAAAGAAACAAACTGCATTAAGGTAAAACTGTAATTAATGTTGAATATCTGAAGAATGGAGCCCCCGATGGTTCAGTGGGTGAAACTGCTGAGCTGCTGAACTTGCTGACTAAAAGATCAGCGATTCAAATCCGGGGAGTGGGGCGAGCTCCCGCTGTTAGCCCTAGCTTCTGCCAACCCAGCAGTTCGAAAACATTCATATGTGAGTAGATCAATAGGTACCACTTTGGTGGAAAGGTAACAGTGCTCCATGCAGTCATGCTGGCCACATGTCTATGGACAGCACTGGCTCTTCGGCTTAGAAATTGAGATGATACCACCCCCTAGAGTCAGACACAACTAGACTTAATGTCAAGAGAAACCTTTACTTTTACTTATCTGAAGAATAGCAGGCATAACATTTCAAATACAAAATTTATTGAGGATTTTTTTTTTTTTTGCTATTGTGATTTCTACAAAATATAGTACGATTTCATTTCAGATCAGGAGCATATTCAACAATATCAAATACTTTCCTCAGACTATAGTAAAAAGATTAAATACAAGCTTTAGCATGAAGAATAATAAAGAAAACCTCTAAGCGATTGAGGGATTTATTTCATATTGATAATTGTTAGTCTTTTTTTTACAGGCATGGAATAAGATCTTGTCTACATGAAATTCCAGTCTGCTGACCTCATCATCCTGCAGGTCTTCCTCAAGCTGGAGAACGCGCTTAAAAGCATCCGCTGCCACCCTTTTCCGTTTTGTGAGAAATTCCTGTTCTTCTGGGCAGAGGTCAAACCCCAAGCGTACATCAGGGCATGGTGGGCTGTAACAAAGAGGAATGTACATCTTCTTATCTGAACTTGCATACTGATATGATGCACACTGACTCAAGGACTGAGATCCTGCATCAGAGGCTGTAATTTGCAACATAATGATAATGTAGCCAAAGCCTCTGGCACGAGTGAATTGTGACAATGCATATCAGGGCATTTTGTAAGAAACTGTGATGCAATGGGTTCCAAAGATGTAGCGGTATCTCTACTCCCCTCCTAAAAATATAAAAGCTGCACAAAAGCACAATCCAGCTTTGCATAATTGTAAGAGTGCATGTGTGTGGTGTAGTGGTTTCAGTGCTGGACTATGACTCGAGATAAGGATCTGAATCCCCACTCAGCTATAAAAACCCACAAGATGACCTGGGGCATCAGTGTCTCTTAGCCTGTGGCAAACATTGCCAAGAAAGCCCAATGATAGCTTTACCTTAGGATCACTATAATTCACAAATGATGGGAAGGCACACCTTTAAAAAAAATCCACCTTACAGGGCACAAACGAAAGTACGTTTTCCTCATGATTCATGCCTCGGCTTGGTAAGAAGTGCAGTCAATGGCTTCTTTTGCCTGAAACCTTGATTGTTTTTGTGTGGCTGCATGGTGTGAATGCATGAAGTATCGGAAGTGGCAAAAATTGCCTTAGTGGCATTGTTATTGAAAACTGTAAAACTTTTGGCATACAGTGACTGACAATGGACTCAGGTCAAAATAACAGATAAATATAATACTTCAAATGAGATCACATAATCTTTGACAAGATTAACATTCAGATTTCACTTGTAATATTGCGGAAACCAAGAACTCTGACAATATTTTTGCTGCTTCTAGAATGGCAATGGGAACATAATCTTCAGTTCAGTGAATACCAGTAAAGGTAATGAAAATAACCCAGTTGCAAAGGATTTAAAGGTAATGGAAATAACCCAGTCACTGTATTAATCTGTTTCAGCATTAAAAGATAGCACCTTTGAGACTAATTGAAAAAAGGCCATTTCTAGCATAAAATTTGTGGACTCTAGCAGCTTCATTACATACACAAAGGAGTTCATGTGAGTCATGAGGGAATTCATTCCAGAACTGAAGGGCAATTGTACACATTTTCAAAATTATCTTACTTTAATTTCTAGATCATCTATATTAAAAAATTGTCAAGCCAAAATTATATTATTTCCATTTCAAAATTGGATTCCTAGAATTCAACTTAGTGTTGTGCATCTTGGATTCTAGAAACACACATTTGGTGCATGGATTCAAAGAGGTAAGAAATACATACAAAAGCAAATGCTTACCAATCCTTTACTTTGAAGTGTAAATTAAATTCTTTTTCCTGGAAATCAAGAACAAAAGGAACTAAATATACCAGTTATATTACTCATGTTACTGGGATTATATTACTCCATCTTAACCTCATCTGAGATAGGGGACAATTGACTTGTTCTTTGCCATGTATTATGTACATGCTGATGCAAATGTCAAAATGTGACATTGACTCTGCAATATGCTTATGATTTTATACGTTTTCATTGAAAACTGCACTTTTAATATCAAGTTCTTCCTCTTCCCCCATTATCTTTAAAAGGAACATTTTTATTGTGGTAAACCTTTCTCCTTACTAGTTTCATAATAAGTACTACTGGACTGAAGTGGAAATCAACATTGCTAAGCATGCCTACATGTTATGAATACCAAGAAAAGAAGGCAAGTGTACTGACTAGTTCAATGAAAAAGAGACTATTACACATAATTAAATAGATTTGGGGAAAGAAGAAAAGAACGGAAGTCTTCCCATCAAATTCTTGCAGGAGTCTCAGCAGTTATCAGAGACAGCAATGTCACTACTTCTCTAAAATGGGAAGTGTGAGACTCAGACCCTCCATTACCTGGATATGTGCTCTCTATAGGTTACATTTAGCCAATAGACTAAAGAGTCCACATGGTCTAAAAGACCAGATGTGCATGCTATTAATATGCTGTATTTATTTGAGTCTAATGCGCCATTGAATTTAATGTGCACCTCAATTTTTAAAACTCTAAAACCAAAAATGTATTAGTTGGCATATGTAATGTGCCAGCATTGTTATAATTATAATTATTTATTCTCTCCCACTCTCTTTACTGCTAAATTAGTTGAGCAGAGAAAAGTAATCAGACTGAAGTGAAGGGAGTGAAATGGCCAACAGGCAAGGAGAAGCCATGTCCTTCAGTCAGGCCAAAGCTGGCAAACTCACGAGCCTTGCATGGTTCCCAACTGGTCTCATCACAAGGCCTTCAAAACCTCCCCATCAACTGGTTTACACGTGGAAACCTAATGTGCCATCAAATCTAATCTGCACCCAAATTTTGGGGTATGATTTAGCCACAGAAGTTGTACATTGCGCAAATTTTGGGGTATGATTTAGCCACAGAAGTTGTACATTAGACTCAAGTAAATATGATAGTTACACACCTACAATGATAAAATTGTTATTGTCACAATTGGATTTTTCAATCTGAAATTGCGTTATCTGTTGCATATGTATAGCCAACAATTATCTTTTTGGAGGGGAAATTGAAAGCTTACAATGACATTTCAATAACTAACAGACAACCCTATCAGATGGGCCTTTTTCCGGCAGCATATGCTGGTTGAGCCCTAAATGTTCCACAAAGCCCGCCAGCTCCCATCAAACGATACACAGGAACTTTAGACAAGGCTCCATGGGATATCTAGAGCAGATGCCACTACTGCAGCAACATGGGAAGCTTCCTGTGTTGTGCAGGAAGCAATGAGGGGAAGCTGTGCCGTCAATGCTTCCCCTGTGGCATCAGCTTCCTCTTGATGCAGGTGATGCAGGGTGTGGGGTGACGGGTTTCACCAGATTCGCAATGACCCGTGGCGATTCTAGCGGCCCGTGTGACAATGTCAGTTTCATTTAACTTATTTCTGTTCTAGAAATGTTATTGAAGACTAAGTTATAAAATAACCAAACAATACAGTTTTGGAAATGTATTTCAAGTATTTACCTCTTTAAATACTTCCCGATCAATTGGAAATGAATTTACAGGCAAGGCCCAGTGCATCTTCCTATTTAAACCTGCTCCATGTGAAACACAGGAACACTGAAAATAAAAAAGTTATTTAAAAGTTTTTAAAAAGCAGAATTACTTTCAGTGTATCTCCAATTTTGTCCAAAAAACATCATTGCTCTATGTAATTAACCATGCTATCACCATGCTCAGCTATGACGTACAAACAAGGGAAGTGATCTCTTCCTTGGAAGCAGGACATCCAATTCTGCTTGCCTGTACTTGGCATAATGGAAGAGGGAAGGCTCATTGAAATGCAAGCTGGAGGCACAGCCTAATGAAATGCTTTGGGTTTCTTCAAAGGATCCTTTCAATGTACATGTGATATCATGTTCTAAAATAAAGAGTACACACAAAAAAATTAAATGTCTCCACAGAAAAAGAAACCACAGCCTTTACAAAGAAAATAAGCATCCATTTCACAAAATCTATACCCAAAAGACCCAAAGAAAGTAAAAGTGTGTAGTTAATGCTGTGGGCCACAGACCACCAGTGGGTTGCGAGGATGAAAATTTGATCCACGACCCTCCTTCCTTTTTATTTTATTTTCACTCCTTTTGCCCTGCCAGCAACTCCTTCCCTGTCGCTGACCAAGGCATATGTTCTTTATCAGAAACTTGAGGTGATGTGGTCTATTCAATGCATTTTCTGAATCAACACCCCAAACCAAATCTAAAGTTGACCAAAAACTGATTTGTAACCTTTTTGGTACTAATGTTGGAGAATGGTCCCTGGTCAGAGTGGTCCCTAGTCAAAGTTGTCCCTGGTAAAAAAAAAAAAAAAAAAAAAGGTTGGGAACCACTGCTATATAGGTGTCTAAGGCCCTTTCTGCAAAGCCCTATATCCCAGGATCTGATCCCAGATTATCTGCTTTAAATTTAATTTTATGAGTCTCAACAGATAATCTAAATAACCCACTGTTAAGATGAATGTAAAGGGGAAAAATAATACCCAGGGTTTGATTTCAATGTAAGAACCTGATGACAGTCCAATCCTTGACAATTTCTGTAGCATTTCAGATTTATTCATGGCACATTCTTGAAAAAAAAGTGTTGCTGTCTCATATACAACTGATGTCAGCAAATGCCTGGAATGTGGATTCCAGCAAATATTCCCAGGCTAGACTGGACCTAACTCCTGAAATCCAATCTTGAAGCCTCAAAAGCTGGCAGTTACGAAGAAACATTTAATGAAGTAATAACCTCACTTTTTGAGCGCTTCTTTTTCTTCTTCTTCTTCCTTTTCTTCTGAGTGCTCAAAATTTCCATGCAGCAAAGCTGACGAAACTGGAACACAAAAAATCCATCAAACAGTGATTACAAACTGATTAAGTGCAACCTTTATTTTATACAGAGAAGACTTTACAAATAGCTAATTTCATTTCCTGGTCCAAATGCCATACATTCCTCTGTTCTGAAATGAGGCTTCTAAATAATTATACTATAAATCACTGGTGAGTGAAGTGATACCAAGTCTATAAACGAATTAACTACATGACAATTTACAACATACTATATCTTGACCTAAGTGTTTCTTTCTACAAATTGCACAATGAATATAAAAGACCCAACTTCAGCAACATCAATATATAAAATTGTATCAGTAAATATATAAATATAAATATAAATACAAGTTACCATTATTGCTCCATTAGTAATTATTGTTTCAGGTGGACCTGCTCTGGGAAACAAAGATATGTAATGTTACAACTTCTAAAGAGAAGTTTGAAATGCAAATTATTTCACGTGAGTAACGGCTTTGCCTGCTTACAGTTTACTTCGCTTGAATCCATAATCTGTTTTCATATTTACATTGGTTTTTACTTGTTTCAGTTTTCATTTTAGTTTTACTGTTGCTACCTGCCTGAGTGCCATTTTCAGATGAAAAGACTAGTGGGGCATCTATCCATCATCTGCCTGTCTGACCATCTAGAACAGTGTTTCTCAACCTTCCTAATGCTGTGACCCCTTAATACAGTTCCTCATGTTGTGGTGGCCCCCAACCATAACATTATTTTGTTACTACTTCATAACTGTAAGTTTGCTACTGTTATGAATTGTAATGTAAATATCTAATGTGCAGGATGTATTTTCATTCACTGGAACAAATTTGGCACAAATACCTGATACACCCAAATGTGAATACTGGTGGGGTGGGGGGTGAATTTGTCATTTGGGATTTGTAGTTGCTGGGATTTATAGTTAACCTCCAGTCAAAGAGCAAATGGAATTGAACCAAACTTGGTGCACAGAACTCCCATGACCAAGAGAAAATACTGGAAGAGTTTGGTGAGCATTGACCTTGAGTTTTGGAGTAGTAGTTCACCTATATCCAGAGAGCACTGTGGATTCAAACAATGATGGAGCTGGACCAAACTTGGCACAAATACTCAATATGCTCAAATGTGAACACTGGTGGGGGAAATAGACCTTGACATTTGGGGGTTGTAGTTGCTGGGATTTATAGTTCACCTACAATCAAAGAGCATTCTGAACCTCACCAACAATAGAATTGGGCCAAACTCCCTAAACAGAACCCCCATGCCTTGAAGGGACTGAAATGAGCCTCCCTCCCACCTCACACACTCTTGCTGCCATGTGCCAAGCATGCTTGTTCCCCCCTTCCTGCTTGGAGTCTCAGAAAAAGCCCTCCCTTTGGCTGAGAAGCTGGCTGAGAGGTCAACCAATCACAGCGGAGGAAGGCTTTTGATGGGGGAATTCCAAAAAGGAAAAGAACAGGTGAAGAGATCTTCAGCCTTCTCTGCCAAAGGGGTTCCTAAGACCATCAGAAGTGTATGTTTTCTGATGGTCTTTGGCAACCCCTCTGAAATCCCCTTGCGACCCCCCCCCCCCAGGGTCCCAACCCCCTGGTTGAGAAATGTTGGTTTAGAACTATATTTGCTTGTAGAAATGTTGCTTTCAAAATCTGAGGCTGTTATGTTTTGCCTGAACTGCAAGCAGCAAAGGCCAAATTCCCACTAAATACAAACAAAGTGCTTCAGAAAGATATACATGAAATGTTGCCTTGGATTTTCCCAATTATTGTTAGAAGTCCTTATGGATAACTAATTTTAATCACAGTCATTTGTGTTGCTAAGAATCATATAGGAGCTCATTTTTCATTTGGTTTTTTTATGAGCTCAGAACCTAATACCCTCCATCAATTCATGGATTAAAAGTGACACATGTTGGCTAAGCTTCATTAGGATGCTGGCAAAGATGGCCAAAGTTATTAATGAATATAAAAGCTGGAGTCTAAAAAGGGCAACGTTTTGCCTTCTCGTGTCTTCTGCCTGCTTTGTGTGAACCGAGTGCAAAATACATTTGCACTTTTAATTCAATTTGCATCACTTGAAGTAAACCAAGGACAAACAAGGAAAGAGAGGAAGAAGAGAAATAAAACTGGACATTTTAAAGACAGCTGAGAAAATGGGACTGCAGAGGATTATTTATTTATTATTTACTATATTTATATACTGTCCCTCTCCCTGCCAAATCTCTGCCATATATTATTCAGCAATTCAGTAATGATTTCTGTGTCTGTGTTACTTACATATTCTCCAGTGTGAATTCAACTTCCAGTTCTTCATGTTTCTGAAAGGGAAAATGAAACATAAATGTCATACCTTTTGCAAATAATTCTACACATTTTGCTGCCTCTAAGAGCATTTAAACACAGAAGAATGTCTAGCAGAAAAAGTAAAAGTTTTTTCCCCCAATTCAGTAGTTCTGAAACTTTGATCCTCTAGGTTTTTCGGAATTCAACTATTTCCTGATAGTTACATAGCCATGATAGCTGAAACTTCTTAGAGTTGAAATCCAAAACACCTAGGGATCTGAAGTTTGAGAATCAATTAAAATTAAATTAAATTAATTAATTAATTAAAATAAATTAAAATTGAGCATTTAAATTCTTGGCAAAAATATTTTTCATATATTTTTTCTGATATAAATCACTATTCCGAAGTGATATTTTGTTGAAGGGCTGAGCATATGGGTATAAAGATTTAACAACCTGTTCTGCAACTTCACAAAAGTGCAAAGCAGCTTCTCTACCTGCCATTTCTTTCCCTTGAGTCCCACGTCCTATGGGATTTTCTCTAAAGATGCAAAAGTCGGTCAGTCTAACAGTTCAATTTTCATTAGCATTTTGCCCATCCCCACCAACATCTTTATCCTGTCCCACATCTATTTGTCTTCTAAATGTAATTCTCACTTTCAAAATTCAAAACTACTATGTTTAGCTAAGTCAAAACCAAAGGAACTTTGTATGCTAAAACTTGTTCTTAAAGCTATCATGTCTGTAAAATGTAATAGTAAAGGCAAAGGTTTCCCCTGACATTAAGTCTAGTCATGTCCGACTCTGGGGGTGGTGCTCATCTCCATTTCTAAGCCTAGGAGCAGGCATTGTCCATAGACACCTCTAAGGTCATGTGGCTAGCATGATTGCATGAAACACTGTTAAATTCCTGCAGAAGTACCTATTGATCTACTCACATTTGAATGTTTTCAAACTGCTAGGTTAGCAGAAGCTGGGCCTAACAGTGTAAGCTCACCCCGTTCCCTGGATTTGAACCCCCAATCTTTTGGTCAGCAAATTCAGCAGCTCAGCAGTTTAACCCACTGTGCCACCAGGGTCCCCACTAAATGTCATATATGATAGAAAGTTTATGTTGTAAGTCATCCCAGGTTTTGTAAGCCACCCCAAGTCCCCTGGGGAGAGAGGGTGGGATATAAATAAACTTTATATTATTATTTATTGTAGTTTCATTTTTATAGGAAGGAACACTGGTTTTAAAACCTGAATATTACATCAGCCATGGAGACGATTGCACATCTGGAAACTTAAGAACATAACACACTACTGGAAAAATTTATGTAGTCCAGATCTCACTTCCCACAGTAGACAACCTGCTGTCTTTGGCATTACTTTTTGTATAAAAATGTTGGTTCTGATGGGAGGAAAGCACATCTAGATTGAAACCACAGTAAAGGAGTGAAAAGGAAGACTTATTCCTGTGTTGTTATTGTATCAGCCCCACTCCAAATCAGAGCAGCCATGCAACCACTATTTCTAGTTTGGGAGTGGGGGAGGATTCTCTTTACAGCACTAGAGCTATCCTCCCGGATAAATAACCAGGTGTGTTATTGTGATCTAACCACTGAGATAAATAGAATCACAAACATTTGAGTGAAAATTACACTGCCTGATATAGATACTAGGTGGTGTAATCTAAATGGGTACATGGTATTCCCTACTGCGCCATTTAGATTTGGAATCCCACACACAAAATTTTTATGGATATTATTTGCTAGACAAAACAAATTATTCATACTGGTATAAATAACCAGGTGTGTCAATATAATCTAACTAAACTTTGAGTATCATCACAAATGTTTGGTTGAAAATTATACCACCGGTATAAATACCAGAAGGTGTAATCTAAATGGTTACAACAAGGCTTATGCACGGATTCAGAGCGGCTGGCTCCCTTTGGCCAATCCGGTTTGTTTGGCTTGGTTGGATGGTCGTAACAGTAAGTGCTCAGCCATCATGGTTTTTTTTTGTCCATAACACGGTCACATGGCAGCCAATCACAGCTCCTACTCCCCTATTTGGCACCACACGCCACGCAGAGAGGCTGCCACATGCTGCTCACATGGGGTTTCCCTGTGAATCCTGCCTGTTGGGCCAATAACAATAAAAGAATGATAAAGATGAAAACCTAGTACTTCATTATCATGTTATGTAATTCTTATAGTAGGAAGGTAGGATCAGAGATTAAGAATGTATAGGTAGTCCAGCCCAATTAGTTATTCATTCATTCCCTATTATTTGTTGTGGAACCCTAAAGCAGCTATTGATGACATAGATCGACCTAAAAGATAATTGAGGAAAGCTTCCACTCTTGTTGGATTGCTGACCACATGAAGAAATCTCTCATGGACTATTGATGGGGTTTCGTTAAGTGTGTGCCTTTTTTCTTATTGGCTTCAAAGAAACTTTGAATCAGTGTGTTGTCTTTTCAAATACATTTTTTTATAATTTCCAATTTGCAGAAATTTTCTTAGGTTAAAAAACTGAAAAATAAATTTAATCTATAATTAAATGTCATGAGGTTAATATATATAAAATATTTAAAAAGCTTAAAGTGAAAATAGAACTCACATATATTCCATAAAAATGATCCCTGTATGCAATTCCTCATTAAAAGTCTATTTGAACAAAAAAAAAATCTTCCCCTACTGTAGGCTCCGATGGAAAGGAATTCCATAGGGTGGGAGTAGCGACCAAGAAGAGAAAATTTGCACACTCACCTGGGAATTCAATTCAAATTTCATGAAGATTGATTCCCCAAGAGGAACTTTAGCTATGTCAAATAAAATAATACGGTAGTTGTCATCTTTCAAGATATCTTCATCACATATGGTCAATTCCAAGACATTCTGGACACAGAAATAAAGAACACTATATATAAATTGCAGAGGTGCAGCATCACAATAGAAGACAGCATATTTAGACCATGAAGGGGAAACACCTTGTCAGTCAAGGCTATAATATATCACTCTCTGCAAATAGGAAAGATCAGTGATTATTCCATAGTATTAAGGTTGTGTGTTAAATATGTAACAAGTGAAAAAGGAAAGAATTCTAATGAAATCCCTAGAGAGGTACTATAGCCTAACAGTGTAGGCAATATGGTCTAGATCAGTGGTTCTCAACCTTTTTCTAGATGTGTCCCCATTTTATAGAGGCGAAATGATCCATGACTCAAGAAGTGCTGGTGCAACCCACTTCTTGAAGTTTTGAGGAGGTTGGAAATCTGTTGTCGAAGACTTTCATGGCTGGAATCATTGGGTTGCTGTTAGCGTTTCTGGCTATATGGCCATGTTCCAGCACCATTCTCTCCTCTTGTTTCTCCTGCATCTGTGACTGGCATTTTCAGAGGTTTGGACTTTCTCAGAAGACATTACAGTCCTGTCTCATATGGAGTAGCCATGGGGAGCCTTCTTAGTCCTGTCACAGCAATTTTTACATGGAACACTTTGAGAAACAAGCCCTGGAAATAGCACCAAAAGGCAACCATATGGTTCTGATATATGGATGACACTTTCACCATTTGGAGCATGGAGAAAAAGAACAAGTTCCTGGACCATATCAATAATATCCAGTTTACCACGGAAACATCCAGTTTACCACGGAAAATGAAAATGAAGGAAAACTACCATTTCTAGATGTCCTAGTCATCTGCAAACCAAATTAACAATTGGATTACATGGTTTACAGAAAACTTATGCACACTGATAGATCCCTACATAAAAACTCCAACCATCACCTAGGCCAAAAAAAGAACACAATTAATGCCCTGGTAGACTGCGCAAACAGGATATGTGAACCCCACCTCCTCCAAGGTGAACTGAACCACCTAAACCAGTGGTTCTCAACCTGGGGTCCCCAGATGTTTTTGGCCTTCAACTCCCAGAAATCCTAACAGCTGGTAAACTGGCCAAAAACATCTGGGGACCCCAGGTTGAGAACCACTGACCTAAACTGTGCTCTATAGGCCCACTACAGACATCAGAAGAGCCACAAGACCAAGAAAAAGCCACAAGAGTAAAGATAAAGATCCACCTAGAAGAAAAGTGTTCTTACCATACATCAAGGGAACCACTGACCGCATAGGGAAGCTGATGAGGAAACACAACATACAAACTATCTACAGACCCACTAACAAAATTCAACAAATTCTACATTCAGCAAAGGATCCTCTCACCTCTGCAGGAGTCTACTGTATACCATGCAGCTGTGGACAAGTCTACATAGGGACGACCAAACACAGCGCCCAAACTTGAATCAAAGAACATGGAAGGTACTGCAGACTAATTCAACCAGAGAAGTCAGCTATAGCAGAGCACTTGATGAACCAACCTGGACACAGAATAGTATTTGAGAACATAGAAATTCAAGACCACTTTGACAACCATTATGTGAGACTACACAGACAAACCATTGAAATCCACAAGTGCATGAAAAATTTCAACAGAAAGGAGGAAATCATGAACATGAACAAAATCTGGTTACCAGTATTAAAAAACACCAGAATCAAGACAGTAAATAAAGAATACCACTCAGAAACAGGAGAACTCCAGCAGCTAACAATCAAGTGCTAATTAACACCTCTCAAACAGAGGATGCCCCCCTGGCAACAAAGGTGAGGTTACCTTTATGCAGATACCCTCATTGATTGACTTTGCAGCTTCATGGCTACTCAATGTTATTCAAGTTTGCTAATTGCAACATTCACACTTGCTTTAAACAAACAAGGGTTCTGTCTCCCACCCTGGACATTCCACAGATTTATTTATTTATTTATTTCAAAGTTTTATATACCGAGCTTCTCACCTCATAAGAGGGACTCAGCCAGGTTTCCAACCATAAAAACACATACAATCGGTAAAATATGAAGTACACATTACAATAAAACATTAAAAAAGCACATATATTTAAAACTACAGTGGTCAGTCATCATACTAAACTCGAATATCGAATATACACTCCACTTGCTTCACTGCCAACAGAACTTCTGAAGATGCCAGCCACAGATGCACGTGAAATGTCAGGAAAGAATGCTACTGGAACATCGCCACACAGCCTGAAAAACTCACAGCAACCTGGTTGGAAATTTGTCTTGATAGCGACACTGAAATATCATGTTTGTGGGTTGTTATCTTCACTTTTGGATACTTTTCCAACAAAAATTAATTTACCTCAAAAATCGGGAGGGAATTTGGAACACTTTGAAGGCACCTTCTCGTAAACCAAATGTCTGGAGTCTAGCACAACTTATAACCTTCACTGTGGTTATAAGACAAGCAGAACAGTTAAGAATTAGGAAAAACCTGTCAGACCTCTCTGGCATTTATAGAATACAATATGTTGCAATAGAAATGAAATTGTTAACCCATTAATTGTGGATGTTCTGAACAATCTAAAAATAGGTCCATACTAGCTGTTTCCAGCAAAGCATATTGCTATCTGGATCTACGTATTAGAAAACTACAGTTTGGCAAGAGCACAGAGACACAAAGCAAGACAGATTGACTAGCTAGGGTTGACACTGGCACTCCACATATGATATTTATAAATAAATAAAATATTCCAAAACACCAAGAAATTACCGTAATAGTCTCCAATGTAGTAACTTTCATTCAAACCTGGATTTGAAAGTAACTAAGTTACTGCACTGCAACCCAGAACTTCTCACCATTGGAGAAAATAATAATATATACAATAGCAGGCACACAGCATTACTGGTGCCTGAAATTTAATTTGTTATAGAAAGTCACTGTAATGTTTACCTAGAATCAGGACTCAGAAGTGAATGAGGCTAAGAACAAGACTAGATAAGAAACAGCCAAGAATGCAGAACCACCAGTAAAGATAAGATTATTATGCAACAGCCTTTATCCTACCTTAACCTGACTCTGGATCCTGAAGAAGAATGCTTCATTCCACACTGGATCTTTGCAATTTGAAACTGTTTTTGTCTGAACTTTTTCAGAAGAGGCAGTAGGGAGCCACAAGGTCACATAACAATCTGTTTCACTTACTGTGGGGAAAAAAGTACTAATTTATTTATGCTGCACACAACTGGATACTTGGTTTACTCCTGTGGTGATTGCATTACTACGTACGCCTATTAGGTATATCTACCATAATTTCTTGATCTCTTAAGAATGCTAAAATGGCAGCTCTATATTTGGGAAAGACTCTATATATCATTTATTTGTTCAAAGGGATTTTTTATTTAAAAAAACAAACACCTGGAGCAGAACATTTAATAGCTGGGGGGGGGGGGGGTCAAGGAAATTTAGTTTTCTTCTGTAAGCATCTTTGTGCAAATGGTAGAAATAGCTAGATTCAGGATCTGCACAGAAATGTTTGAAGGATGTCACATTGAGTTTTCTACTACTTCTAAGACTAAGGGCCTCATTACATGAAGTTGTCCAATGCAGGGGTTCGCCAGGCAGTGTGGCGAATCTGGTGGACAGAGAGGGAATCAGTCACCCCACACACCGCAATGTCCACAGCATCACCTTCCTCCCGCACTCCCCCCGTTGCTGGCAATGAGAACCTGGGAAATCTCTCATGTTCTTATTCCTCTGTCCTACAACACTTTCACCACAGTTCGGGGACAGAGCCCCACCAGAATTAGCTCTATGCCATTTGTTGGTATCCAGCCGACTCCGTCCCCAAACTGTGGTGAAAGCGTTGTAGGATGGATAAATTTGCCCATGTGATGAAGCCCAAAGACACCAAGTAAAGGATTCAAGCTACAGGGGGGAAAAAGATTCCACCTAAAACATCTGGAAGAACTTCTTGACAATAAGAGCTGTTGAACTGTGAAATATGCTGTCTTGCAGGGAATTGGAAATCTCTAAAGGATTTTAAGCAAAGTCTGGATGGCCATATGTTCAGGGGGCTTTAATTTCCTAACATGGCAGAAGAGGGTTGGACTGGATGGCACTTAAGGACTTTTCCAATTCTGTGATTCCATGACAACTGTGTGTATGGAAGCCACTAACTGTAGCTATTTCCTCCTCTTCCTCCTCCTCCTTTTTCTCCTCTTCCTCCTTCTCCTCCTCCAGTATTGCTTCTATTGTTATGCTTCTTCTCATTTAAGAGGTTTCTTTTTTGTCTTACACATCCTGTTCTGGCAGTCTCTGCATTAGATTGTCTCTCTCTTGCTAAATCTTGTCAGAAGCATTGCATTGCCCCACCCTGTTCTGGTTTCAAAACTTTCTCAGTTCATGTCTTGCTGTGATATCTCAGAGCCTTTCTACACTAACCTAAAACCCAAGAGGAACCAAGTTAAAATAACCTGCTTCCTCTTTGGGTTTCTGTCCCCACCCCCAACCCAAACCCCTGTGAGAGATGGATAGATGGCCACCCCTCATGAATGACATCAGGAGGGGGGGGAGAGAAATCCCTCCTTCCCTCCACATCCTGACGTGCCTTTTTCTTGCATCAGGAGTCCTCCGGTAACTTTTAAGGCAGGGAAATGGAGCCTGAAGAACCAGGCTGGCAGTAGGGATTGTCCCCCGGAATGGCAGAAACAGTCTGGGGACTCCATCCCCACAGGGCCCATACCTGGAATGATGAAGGCCTTGCCTTATGGTCCGTATCTTTCCAGGTGTTTAATTAATGTGGAGTAAAACTAGGAAAAACCAGTTTACTCTGCATTAATTCATTTTTAACTGTTGCATCGTTAGGATGCCTCGGGTAAAAAGTGAGACAGTTCCCGCATTTTGGGTCTGTCTAGAAGAGCTCTCAAGCAGAATGTCTTTTCCATTTACTTATCTGACCAAAAACCATCTTTCTTCCCTCCCAACATTTCTATTATGCTTCTTGACAATTTCAGAGGAAACATCAAGAGTAAACCTTTAAGATGTGCTGAAATTCTGTTATATGCTCATGTATCCATCTAGAAATTTTAGTTAAAAATTCAAGTCAAAAGAAAATTATGGTTGAGTTATGCATTGGTCAATGTAAGTTCAGTATTTTAACTTTTATTTTTTTAAAAAGGCACCATCCTTTTCTTTGAGAAGAGTAGCAAAAGGCAAAAGCTTAGTTCATCCCAGAAAAACCTAAAAGGAAGTACAAAAACCCTCTCCTCTTTCTACCATCGTGCTGCCAGGGCAGGAAAATGGAAACAGCATCAATGTCTTCCTCTCTGCAAAATGACCCTTGATTTATCCATGATTTGGATTACCATATCAAAATCCATAATCTTGGTTCCCAAATCTCCCATTGATTTATACATGAGGTCACAGAATCATAGAGTTGGAAGAGACATCATGGGCCATCCAGTCCAATCCCCTGCCAAGAAGCAGGAATATTGCATTAAAAGCACCCCTGACAGATAGCCATCCAGCCTCTATTTAAAAGCTTCCAAAGAAGGAGCCTCCACCACACTCTGAGGCAGAGAGTTCCACTGCTGAATGGCTCTCATGGTTAGGAAGTTCTTCCTAATGTTCAGGTGGAATCTCCTTTCTTGTAGTTTGAAACCATTGTTCCGCGTCCTAGTCTCCAGGGTAGCAGAAAACAAGCTTGCTCCCTCCTCCCTATGACTTCCTCGACTAATATTTGAATATTTATGGTCATTTATTGGGCCCAACAAATTTCGAACCCTTTCAACAACAACAATCCTCTATTTTAGCTCTGGATTTGTGCTCCTATCTACAGTTTTCATCCTTGCTTTAAGGCTGCTGAGTGCCACTTTAAAAAATAGTAATACTTGGCTGGGTTTGCTCACTTGAAATATATGTTGATCACCTTCCCTTTTGACAAGCAACATTGTTTCTCTTCCCTAATCCACAATTATTGCTGCAATACCTTAGAATCTCTTCTCTATCTTTCTTCCTCCGCTTTTTTTTGCTTTTCATCTAAGAACTTGTTTTCTTCTTGAGTTAAAAACTGATGCTATCATCCTTAGTAATCTTCCCTATTATCTGTTTCCACATCCTTTGCATTTCTTCCAGTACCACTAAATAAGAGTACCACATTGTTGTGGCTTGTTCCCTGATCCTATTGCCTCCTACGTACTGAGTAGCATTGCCTAGAGGAAGGACCATTATTTTTAATACTAATGTGATGCATTACTCATTTGTGTAATTTCCTGTACCACAGATTAATTCATCCCTTGTAATGCATTGCTTCTCAGCTTTGCTTGTCTCTCTCAGGAACAAAAAGAAAATTTATTGAGTGCCAGGAAACTCTGCCTAGGAAAATCAAGGTTTGCTGTCATTCAAGAAATACTCTGCAAAAATATCCCATGTGTTTTGTCCCCAGGGGGAAAAAAAACATTATTTTATGTGCAGAAAAATGGTTTGCACATAAATATTATTTCATGTTCAGAAAACATTGTTGTTCACACAGAAAAACCCATGAGGGAATTTTGTGTTGAGTGGGGGCCCTTCCAGACAGGCCGTTATCCCAGGAGCATCCATCTACACACACCCCAGAAAGCGCATGCTTTCTGGTGTGGATGTTCAGATGTTCTTCCGGGACTCCCCCCCCCCTTCCCCAAAAGCCATAAAAAGCCCCTTAAAAAAGAAAAGTACCATTGGAGAGCTGCTGGAGCTCTCCTGGTGCATAGAAATGATGTGCCAGGAGAAGGGGGGGCAGAAGCAATTTTCCTCCTCCCCTGTCTCCTGGCACATCATTTCTATGCACCAGGAGAGCCCCAGCAGCTCTCCAATGGAGGCCAGGCAAGTACTTTTCTGTTTAAAAGGGTTTTTTTTGGGGGGGAGGCTTTTGGGGAGGGGGTTGTTATTCCCGCAGTTTTCTGGGATAATTTATTCCGGAAAACTGTGGGAATACTATCTGGACTGCAGTCCAGATGCCAGAAGTAGTGGGTTTATCCTGTGCCTTCCAAGAAGACACGGAATAAACCCACTATCAAATTAATTCACCACAAAACAGGGTTTTTCTGGTTTGTGGTGGATTAATTCAGGTTTGTCCAGGAACCCCTTTTTATTGTGGAAATCCCACAATAAAGTGGCTGTCTGGATGCGCCCTAAGTCCCAAACTACAAATAGTAATTGAAGACCACACAATAGTGTGGTTATAGTATTTGAAGAGTAGTAAGAATAATGTTTAGTATAAGTGTATATTGGTTATCTAGCCTAATAACTGACATTAGAGAAAGTAGTTCTCAGAAACAAAGATACCTTCAGCGGGGAGGGGGGGGGAGGTCAAAACCTGTCCCCCTCCCCTTTTTGTGTGCATTTGGTTTGAGATATTTGTTTGTATATTATGGAAAACATTATTTGTGTGTGTGTGTGTGTAATGTATTAAATCAATATTTTTTAAAGGCAATAATAGATGGTCCTCTATGACTCCTTTCATTCCACTTTTCCTGCTCCTGTAAAATTATTCTTTCATTGATAAAAGAACTTGCTGTCTTTCTTTCCTCTCTCCCTCTTTCTCTCTGTCTGACCCCTTCCACACAGCTTAATAAAATCTCACATTATCTGCTTTGTATTGTAATATATGGCAGTGAGGATTCAGATAGCCCAGGGCCCTTCCACACAGCCTTATAACCCAGAATATCAAGGCAGATAGTCCACAATATCTACTTTGAGCTTCCATATAACCCAGTTCTACTTTGAGATTCCACATAACCCAAATAATGTGGGATTTTATACAGCTGTGTAGAAGGGGCACCAGTTCAAAGCAGATATCGTGGGATTTTCTTCCTCAATATTCTGGGTTATATATATGGTTATATATATGGCTGTGTGGAAGGGCCCTATGTCTCTTTCTGTAGATAAAACACATTTTGGAGCTAATGCAAAGGTTCCTTGAGACTTAAGCATTACTTAAGCATTACTGGAGTGGTTTCTCCAGATTAAATTGCAGCCTTAAGAAAAGTCTGATCTCATTTTAAATGAAAGACACAGATCATATTGTTACTACCACCCCATCACTATAATTAATATGATTATGTTTCCTGCTACTATGCCTGTTGCTCCCACCATTACTACTCATATGAACATCCAGTGGAATTTCAGGTGCATTATTTAAAGCACCCGAAGACCAGTGGCA